CCCATCTCGGAAGTCCTGCTCCTGGAACACCCGGTGCCGGAAGGCCTTTTAGTTTGGGCACTCGGTACCTAAAACGTTCGCCATCACTGGTCTAGCCCACAGGTATTATTTCCCTTGGTAGGATGGATTGAAGCTAAGAGTGTCAATTTGTATAGGATTTAGTCATCTGAGCTGGTTGTTTGGAGCGGCCCAGTAGGTAGAATTAGCACTACAGAGCATTAGGCCTTATTTGATTATCAGCTTACTTAGTAAATCAACAAGTTCAGTGGGCCCTTGGTATCCGCTGTGGCTTGGTTCCAGGCCCCCCCATGGATAACAAAAACCATGGATGCTTAACTCCCATTAAACAGAACGGCATAGTGAAATGGTGTCCCTTATATAAAATGGCAAAATGAAGGTTTGCTTTTTGGAATTTACACACTTTTAAAATATCTTCAAACCATGGATGCTTGAATCCGTGGATAAGAAAATCTGTGGATACAGAGGACTGACTGTATAGTCCAAACTTAAAAGCTAGTTAGGAAGACCATTTTACAGTGCACTCCTGTGAAGAGTTAGGCATGTGTGAGGCCCTTGATTTTACTTGGTTGAGGGACACCTAGCTATGCATACCCCTTGGAATTTTTAGGCCTCAAAGTCCCAGATCAATCTTGTACATACCTTTGTACTGGTAAGTTTTAGACACTGTCCAGTCCTTTCACATTGCCAATATCAGTCAGGACAAACATGTTTTAGTATGACTCTAGGTCCAGGACTGTGTCTGCCATTGGTGAACCCATATTTTGCATCTAAAACACAGGTTTTGCACTTTGTTTTAGGGGAGAATTGCATAAAAACATAGATAATTTAATTACCATGCCAGTGAAATATGGCAGCACACTGCCAAATTCAGTGATGGAGCTTGGGAGGCCTACAAAAATATCACAGGAGACACACATGACCCATGGTGCATGTGCTAGCCAACTTTATGTTAGGTCCTAGATTATAGTCTAAGCATAACGCTGCTCCAGCAGTCAGGGACTTTCCAGGCTAAATGCTGACTTTTTAAAACCTGCCTCTTAAAGTCTCAATTTTCAGTACTTTATAGTGTACAGAACAGAAACTTATCACAGTTTCTCAACAATTGACAAAATCAGTCAACAGGGAAGATTGCTACAGGGTTCACATGGGAGTAGTGTGGTTGTGGTAATAGAGTGTGACATGGTAATGCAGAAAAAGAATAATGCATAAAAAAGTAAGAAAGACAATTGTCCCTTATATTTTCCCATGTTGATTTAGATTTAACAGTACGTTAAACATTTCACATCTACATATAAAGCATACAGTCCAGAAATTACATAATGGCAATTAAAAAAATCCATGGAAAATAAAAAGAAGAAAGAGGTTGAAAGAAATGATAGGGGAAAGTGATACATGATAAAAGTGATGCATGATAAAAATATGACTTAAGTTTCAAGTACTTTCCATTCAAAAATGAATTGCAAATTCCATTATGACATAAAATTTCTTGGTAAGGAAAAGGTGAAGCTAACATAACAGATGATAACTTTATAGGTATCTTACAAATTGCTAATTACTAATTTGTAAAAATTACAATTGATAAGTTGTACAAATTAGGTGGCATTTCCTAAGAAACCCCAGATATATTTCAGAGAAAGTAGTGATGTCATGTTTTGTGACATAGCAACAGTGTTCTTCAGAATAAGTCTCTCTTCACTGTTTACTGTTAAACATTTACTAACTGTGTGTGAGGATTTCTTCCTTAGCTGTCCCAAGAGACTGCACAATTCTGGCTCTAATATGTTTAAATACCTTGGAGTTCAGTGCTGTGTAATTGTGCATCATCCCAAATTGTTATATTGTTTGTCTCTGGTGGCTTATGCTACAGTGTATTTTTAATTCTTCTTTGCTTGACTGGTTATAATATCAAGGCCAAGTTCCTAATGTAACACTCTGGAGTTGGAATGGATTTAAAGACCATTTCACAGCAAACAAGGAGGATTATTGCACACATTAGATACATTGATGGATTCAGAAGATTGTGCTAGGACCTGCTGGCCCACATTTCATGGCATTGGGTTGGTGTGGTGGTACAGACGTCTGTCACGATATTTAACATCTACATGACACTTTTGTGGGGCATTGTCAATATTCTGAATTGAATTCTTTTTCATTACATCCCAGGGATATACTGTAAAAGTTCTGAACAGATGTCTGGTCAGTATAGGGCTTGATAAGGATGAACACACTGACATTTAATCCAGACAAGTTGGATGTTCTATGAATTTGAAATTGGTATATAGATTATATTGGATGGAGTTAGATTCCCCATAAAATCCAGGACTTCAGTTTGAGTGTATGCTTGGATTCTGGGCTGTTTCTTGATACTCAGGACCATTTTGGCACCTTAGTGTGTTTGCTGGGCCCATTCTCGGGAGAGTGAAAAAACAAGCCAGCAATCTAAGCATGTGGTTCATCACATATAGATTTGTTTATTGGTGTTGCCCCAAAACTGTGTCTACAAAATAGTACAATAAAAATAATAAAAAATAATAATAAAATTTATTTTTATCCCACCCCTCTGCAACACAGTCAGGTGTCAGAGCTGCTTGAAGTTGTTTTTGTTTTGGGAACAGAGCAGAAAATCACACACACACACAAACACACACACACCAGGAGATTTTGGTGCCTAAGGCAGAAAATCCCAGCAGCATCTCTTCCCCTTCCAGACAGTAAAAATACAAGTGCTAGCATGTTGTTGGTGAATATGCTGTAAATTAGACTTACATCATTACAACTACT